CAAGGAGGAACTCAAGTTGTTTATTTGTGGTTCAGATATGCTTCGTATGATTAACAATAAACATACACAAAACACGTTCAAAGATTTTGCATAGAGCAGATGTGATAGCTATTGACCGATAATTTACCATAGAAAGTGGGTTCGCTATTTTAGGTACAGGTGTTAAGTGAGTTGATTTTGTTGATATGGAATATGTTTGCATTCAATTATTAATTAAATAGAATACAGAGTGATTCAGATATTTTGAAACAGGATGATTTTAACAGAATTGGGGACAGATTATAAGGGCCTGGTGATCCAGACTTTAGTTTGCTAAGTTATGTTAAAATATTATTTTAAGTAATGATGTGATTTGCAGATTGATCTGCATTTATGTTAATAAAGATTGAGATATTAAAAATAGTTTTATCTATCCAAACATTATGATAATGATCGTTTAGTATTTAAATGTATTTTTAGAAATTGATGGTTTATTTAGACACTTATTACATTGATGGTTTATTTAGAGACTTATTGTTTTGCTTCTTTACAAAAACCAGTGTTGCCTGATATGCATCGTTTGTTATAAAATATTTTTCTTTTGATGTTTAGTTTATTTATCTCTGTAGCTATCTTCCTCCATTCAATGTACAAACCAACTTTGAAATATTTTTGACGTACTTTGAAAAGCTTTGAATATAGTGGGTCATCCAAGATTTAGGGTTAATGAGTGTTGAAGTTTTTAGAGGTAAGTTGAAGTTTTTAAGAGGTTTTAATAATTAAACTTTTTTAACTGTATGTATATATACATACAGTGAATAAAGTTTATTTTTTAAATTTGTAGAAATCAGATTTATGAATAATATTTATTAACAAACAACCATGTAAAATAAAAAAATTTATAAGTGACTTCTACTTGTTCATAAATATATTAATAAACATATAGAAATCACTTATCGATTTTTTGCAATTAAAAAAAATCTTAATAATTATCTTAGCTATTTAGCATAAATATTTATGACTTCCTGTTTTATAAATCTTGGTACAAATTGAAGATTTATTAATATGAACATTCATTTCTGATGAATTTTTATAGAAGAAACACAGTAAAAAACAAATATTTTAATTTGGCTAAAAGGCTACCTTAGTATTAGAAAGCAATTTATTCATGCGGACCAGAGCGTATCATCCAATTTGTTGAATGTGGAGTGTGGAGTTCCTCAAGAAACCATTTTAGGACCTTTCTTATTTTTATTATATATTAATGATCTATCTAAAGCTTCTAACCCAACAACAATTATGTTTGATAGTTCTAACTTATTTCTTTCTCATAATAACATTATAACACTTTTTTACAGCATGAACATTGAACTAGTAAAAGTTTCTGAACGGTTTAAATTAAATAAATTATCATTAAATATTGATAAAACTAAATAGATTTTTTTCCATCCAAACGGAATAAAACACCTGCTGCCTAGTAACTTGCTTATAATATAATAATTAAAAGAGTTTTAGTGACAAAAGTTTTGGGTGTCTATATCGACAAAAATATTTAAATTGGAAAAACCGCATTACTAACTTGTGCGGTAAATTTTCAAAGAGTATTGGTATTTTATACAAAACAAGAAGCCATCTTAACAAACGTACCTTAATTCAATTATATTACTCTTTAATTCATTGTCATATAAACTATGCAAACATTGGTATGGGTAGTACAAATAAAGGTAAACTTGAACCTTTATATGGGCAACAGAAGCATGTTGCACGCCATAAAAATTTCAAGGACCGTTTTGCTCATGCAAAGCCTCTTTTATATGGAATAAAGCTCTCAATATATACGAGCTAAATGTTTGTAATATTCTTTGCTGTAAAAACAACTTATCTCCCGTTTCTTTCCGCAGCTTGTATTTGCAAAGCGATATAAATAAATATATTTTAAGGAATGAAAATTTAATTAGACAACCATTTTCTCAAACCATTTTCGGAAGTTTTTTTATTTCATTTCGAGGACCATTTTTATGGAATAGTATAATTATAAATACTACAAAAGGCATTTCTCAAGAACCTAAGTTTGATTTTTTTTTTTTTAAATCTCATAAATCTCATATTTTCCACTGAAAATATACTTATATACTTTTAAAACTTAGACGAATCTCAATTTTTGCGTGTATGTGTAAATATTCATTTTTTTTTTTTTTTTTACGGAAAGCTTATTGTAATATGTTACATAAAGTTTATGTAAATACGTATTTTATAAACATGTTTTAATATAAATTTTACTGTTTTTTGAACAAATTTATCAGTTGACTTTATTTTACTTGCATGTACTGTAATGTAATGTAATTATTATTGTACTGCAATGCAATGTAATTTTTTTTTTTAGCGGTTCTTGGTGACAAGACCTAGAGTGCCCGCGTTCTTTGTTTCATTTATTAAATATTGTGAAAGTTTTACTCTATTTAACGAATTTTTTACCTGTAATTTATTTCTTGTATATATTTAAATAAATATTGTAATAATTGTACAAAAAAAAAAAAAAAAAAAGTTTGACAAGTGATTTTCTACTAGTTTATTAATGCTCTGTTTTTTTAAAAATATTAGGCTCTTAATTTTGTAGAATACAATTGCGCACTTTTTTTGCATACGTAGAGCTTAATAAAATAGATTAATAAAATGGTTTGTTTTCATCATAGATGCGTATCATTAACGGCTCAGTGTTATAGTGCACTGTCATCTCCAGTGAAAGAAAAATGCTTATCCCAAATGGGTTTCATGTGGATTTTGTGTGGGATTCATGGAAATGCATATTGAACTCAATTGAAACAATATATTTTTTTGGGAGGTTCAAGTCCTCTTCTAAACTTAATAAATTTTTAAATTTATTCAATCTTGCCGTACATATTTGAAGCAAAAAAGAATAGAGTGTTGGTTAAAGTAATTGTAATCAATCACAAAAAAGCAAATTTTTGAAAAATCATTTTTATTCACTCGCAAAATTGCATAAAATTGCATTTAAAAACGCTGTTTTTAGAAAGTTCAATTCAGAGACTGTTATCTAGTACTTGATGAAGAAACCTTTTACTTTCAGAAGTGTTTTTATTCTTTCTAGCATAGAATGAAATCGAGATGTGCAATTGCCAGTCAGTTCGACATTTTATTTCTTTGAACTAATATTCTCTTCTATTAGCTAATGTTTGTTTGTAATCTTTGTCTTCCTTATGTCAGTTTTAAGAATCGAGCACAAATTCAAAAAAAGTTATTGCCCGGCCATGGTAACACGTCAACACTCTCAGAAGTCAGATACTGGGGAACTCTACGCTCCTTATGGCGAAGTGCTCCATTATGCATAAAAACAAGGTCTACAATATCATGCAATTCTTTCTTCACAAGTCACTTCCTCAATTGTGAAAAGAGACGCTTTTCCAACACAGTCTTGTAATGGGCCTACTCCATTGTGCCCTCTGTTTTTTTCCTAACTTGTCGACTCACATTGTACACTTGCTGCTCCGGACATTAAGATTGAATAAAGTAATGTGAATATTATTGAAATCTGTTTTTAATATTTTCGAACGCTCATTATTCCATATTTTTATTCTCTCAAATAACTCAGGTCATGTTGCGGAAAAATAAAAAAATCCAAAAATAACACCTATTCACAAATCAGTTGATGAGACTAATATTTTATACTACAGTCCTATTTCAGTCTTGCCCTGCTTTTCTAAAGTAATTAAACTTATTATGTATGACAGATTTTATAATTATTTAACTAAAAATAAGATTTTATACTGTAATCAATATGGTTTTAAAAAAAACCGCTTTACTGAACATGCAATTATTGAATTGAATAAACATATATCAAATGAATTTAATATTGATTGCTACACAATTAATTTTTTTATTGATTTATTTAAAGCTTTGACACAGTTAATCATGAGATACTTTAAGTAAAATCTAGAAAATTATGCATAATTTTCTAGTTTTAACACCATATATATTGTTAAAAATTAAAGTAATCTTTGGCTTAAATTGTATTTTATAATAACTTTTATTTCGCTGATAAATCATATCTTGCTAACAGAAAGTAACTTATACGTAAAACGTAAAGAACCAAAAGATTTAAAAACTAACTTTATAACTTGTGGGGTACCCCAAGGTTCTTGTTTAAGACCATAAGCATTTTTACTTATATAAATGACTCATATTAAGCATCAAAAAATTCAATACTACCTTTTTTGCCGAAGAAACTAATTTATTTTATTCTCACAAAGATATTATTGTTCTTTTTAAAAAATTTAACGAAGAATTAAATTAGATGAACGAGCAGTTTATAAGTAGCCAGATCTTCATAAAATGTAGTGAAAACAAAGTCTATCTTATTCCTTAAACCTAGTGAGGCTAACAATATTCCTTGTAAATTGTTTAATCTTTTAATTAATAACATAATAAACAGGGACTACTAAAATACCGGGACGCGCAACATCGATTTCATGCGATATTGACGAAAGGGCTGAAAGTTGAATATGTTCAAAAACTTTTATAGAAGCTTAACATTTATTTGGTTTTGATACTAATATTAACAGTTATTCAGAGTTATTTTTTGTTTCTCACTAAATAATATCTTAATCTCATAACTCATTAAGTTTTTGTCAATTTATAGCAAAAAAGAAATCTTATTTTCATAAGACCTGGATTAGTAACTTAAAACTTTAGTTAGTAAGTAAATTGATCTTATGTAGTTAATCAAAGGATCTTAAGCAGAAAACAGAAGGATCTTATAAAATACTTAAAATAGAAACTTTAAACTTTAATTACTTGAAACCATTTAAATCATTTCATTACAAATTAAAATTAATTCATAATTTATTATTCTTCAAACATTAATAAATATAAAAAATATAAATAATAAGTATAATTATAAATATAAGAACCTATAAAATTCAATAACAAAAAAAAATATTATCTAAAATGATCTAACTTCTGTATTTAAAACAATGTTAACAATTTAAAAAATAACCATTTTAACCATATATTGTGTGTTGCTTTATTTATTTGCAAAACGTTTTAACTTTGCGGTCTTCAATATTGAAAAAAAAATTTGTCTGATGAGTCATCCAACTTCGTTAGAACCTTGAAAAAACAATTCAAAATGGTGAAAAAAACTGTGTTGATTGGTGATAATTGTAAAATAAAAAGTAAAGCTCTATACAAATCTATAAAAAGTTTAGAAACGTATCTAACGCACTGGAACCGCATCTCTGCATTAGGTAATAAAATAAAAAGAGAATACGCATACCTGACATATTGAAATAAATCCTTAGTTGGGTGACATAGTCGACCGCGAGAAACTAACTCAGTAAACTCAGATGCATTGGTAACAAAATTATCAGATACAAATTACTTGGTGAAAACTTATGCTGGACATAAGCGTTTTCTTCTCTTCGGAAATTGCATCGATTGAAGAGACAGACATATTAATATAACTAATGTCATCATCATTCAGATCTAATTGAAAACACTCTGATTGAATAATTGAGCATTGAGAAATAGGTACACCCATAGCATCCATTTTACTAAACAATTTCAGGTGTTATAAACGAAGACTATTTTTATCCTTTTCAACCAAAACATGATAACTGCCTCCACAAAACAGCCTGGCATAAAAATAAATCTAAACTTTATATGATTTGAACTTTATTTAAAGATACATATGAAAATTAGTGTTCTTAAATGCAGGGTCAGACTGGTAAGGGGGTTGGTAGGGATTTACCCCAGAGCCCCTGCCACACAAAATACATATAAATTAGTAATAGTTATTTATTTTTTAAATACATCAATTTTGCAAAGACAATACAACAAATATGGTAGTTATTTCTATAAAATAACATTTTTGATGTTACAAAACAGAAAAGTTATTTCTACTTATAATCCAAAACTATACGATTAAAGATTTAATTTATTTTTGCCTTCAGTGCCAGTCCAACCCTGCTTAAATGTAATAATAACAATATCAATGTGATTATAAATATGTAAGAAATTATTTAACTACCTGTATATTCCAAATTCTCCTTCTAACCACTCTGTCTGAAATATTCCAGGAAGAACATGTTAATGATCTTCATTCAGCAATTTTCGGATTAAATCTACGATTTCATAGAGCATAAGCGACAAAAAAATTTTAGTTTCACTTGTGAATGATTTATTCCACTTCCAGCCCTTTCCTTCTAGCACTTTTGCAACAGCTTCAGCAAATGTCAAAATCTCTTGAAGTTGTTTATCCTTCAAATTTATGTATGAAGCTCTAATTGTGGATCATTTAAACGTATGTCCGTACCTTCTTGTTTGATATTAAGGTAATTCCATATCAATAATATTCTTTCAAGAAATTCACTTATCTCATTAAAATCACAAATTTTAAGGGCAGCTACAGTCTTTTCATTAACAACAGCACACGTATGGGTGACGTTTTGTCAATCAATTACACCTGGATGAATAGCTTTGTATGAAAGATTTGTCAACTTTATCGTATAAAGTTGACAATCTTTGTATGAAAGATTGTCAACTTTATCGTATAAACTTACCAAATCCATCCAATAATACCCTTTAAATAATTGACTTTTTGGTGTAAGATGAATTGTTCCAATTTTTTTCTGTTAGCCAGTTTTTTTAAATGGATTTAAACAAGTGCACTGGATCATGAAGCATTATTATACTTTGGTTGCAAATATTACCTAGCCATGGCTTATTTAAACTTAAAGCAAAAAATGGGTATATGCTACAATTTGTGGGAAGATTGTCTGAAATTAGGCATAAAATTTCTTCACCAAGTTTAGCAACTGTCTGAATGATTTTAACAATTAAATTTTGTACAAAAATTCCAGATAGATTATAAACTGGCGCCATACGAGACACAATAACGCATACTTGGTTTCACGTACATTTCATCAAATGGCAGGCAGCAACGTTTTTCCGAAATAGTTAATGTTTCAAACAAAAATATATTTATATATTATCTCTATAATAAATAGCCGAATGAATATTGTTATTATTATTATTAGTGCGCATAGTTACGCGTATTGTTTTATAGTTACGGTACGGTTCTGTATCTGTAAAATACACTTTTTAAGTAGTTTCTAGACTTTTCTTTACCGCGTGCTTTCTTAAAGATTTCCTTTCAACCTTTCATGGTACGAGTTCAAAATGTCCAAGTTGATATTAAGTAGATAATTTTTAGTAGCTTAAAATTATAGATAATCTAAAATTTTTAATTTAAAAGTAACTAATTTATTGTAATCTTTTTTAAATTGTAATTTTAAATTTAAAGCTTCGTGTTATAGATTACTTTAATTTTTAGATTGTGTCTAGCGTTAAAATATATTTATGGGTAGTTTCATGCTTTCACATAGTTTTGGTTATTAGAATAAAAGCCATGACAACATTTTGTTATAAATTTATCTTAATTTAATTTTTATTAAAAATTTTGATATATATAAAATTTATCTTTAATATTGTTAATACTTTTGCTCTATGAAAAAAAATATGTTTCTGGCTCTTTAATAAATATAAAATAATTTGTCTTGCATGAATGAATTTTGGTTTAGGATTTAATTGAGTTATTTATGTTTGTCTATCTGTAATTTATTTAGGTTATTAAAAAATTCATGTTTACAGAGTTGTTATTAATCATAATCGAGTTGTTAAACCAAGGAAATTGTGGAGGTTTATTTATCATATATACTATATATATATTATATAATTATATTGGAGGGAGTAAGTTTAAAAGCATTTTTAAATTTTTAAAAAGAAATAAAAATACTTTTCAATATATATCTGTTTTCTTTGAAAACAAACATATAATTGTGTTATTATATGTTTGTTTTTCTATTTATATCTGATTTATAAAGATTTAATTTATAGTTAAGATAAATATAATTTATTTAATTTAAAATTAAGATATAAAATAAAATATCTAATTTATAAAGATTTAGATCATTAGAAAATTTATATTTACAGAGTTATTATTAATCATATTCAAGTTGTTGAACCAAAAAAATTGTAGAGGTTTATTTATCAAATATACTATATATATTATATATATCAAATGTTCTATATATATAAATATATATATATATATATATATATATATATATATATATATATATATATATATATATATATATATATATATATATATATATATATATATATATATATATGTTTTATATATATATATAAATATATATATATATATATATATATATTTATATATATATATATATATATATATATATATATATATATATATGTATATATATATATAAATATATATATATATATATATATATATATAATATATATATATATATATATATATATATATATGTATATATATATATAATATATATATATATATATATATATATATATATATATATATATATATATATATATATATATATATATATATATATGTATATATATATATATATATATATATATATATATATGTTCTCTCTCTTTATTATATATATATATATATATATATATATATATATATATATATATATATATATATATATATATATATATATATATATATATATGAATATATATATATATATATATATATATATATATATATATATATATATATATATATATATATATGTTCTCTCTCTTTATATATATATATATATATATATATATATATATATATATATATATATATATATATATATATATATTATATATATATGAACATATATATATACAATATATATATTATATATATATATATATATATATATATATATATATATATATATATATATATATATATATATATATATATATATATATATATATATATATATATATATATATATATATATATATATATATATATATATATATATATATATATATATATATATATATATATATATATATATATATATATATATATATATATATATATAACTATGTATATCCTTGGAGTTGCCGCAGCGTAATAGTGTGTTGGGGAATAAAAATTTATAAACCTGCGTTAATAACCCGTTTTCTATTGTACATAACGCGTTAATAAGTTTTATTACCCGTTTTGTTCAATGTTTTCTCCCAAGGCATGCCATATGACGCTGTCTGCGAAAATATGTTGTTTGTTTCTAAGTTTTTTTTCTTTTATTAGAAACAGAATAAATTTTATCTTTTTGTATTAAAATTTTGCTAATATGGTTGCAGGTTTTTCTTAACTTCTATCAAATAAACTTAAGAAACCTTTATTACTTTTGATGATGGCAAATTAATTTTATTTTGCATTAGTTTGGATTCTTTATATTTGTTTTGAGAAATTTTTTTTTTAATTTTTTGAGTAAAATTGTTTTAGTTATTTATTTAGTTTTTTTATTTTATTGTTAACTTTAGAGAGTAAAAAAAAGAAATAGTTAGTGTTGCTTTGATAAATATGTTTAATCAAAATGATGACATTGAAATGAATGATAGGCTAGATGAAGTTATGTATTTTATGTTATGTATGAAGCAAATAAGTCAGTGTTTTTGCTATTAGATATTTGTTAATAGGAATTTGTTTATTTGTACTGCAACTGGAATTTTAAAAAATCAAGTTTTATACTTTCTTTTAGGGGAGTTGGAACAAAAACTAAGTATAAATTATGATTAGTTTAGTTTAATAAATAAAGCATTAATATTTAGAAGATTTAAAGTTTACTTTAGTTTATAGTTTTGGTTTAGTTTATAGTTGTATTTTTAGCTTTAGTTATTTTTTTCTTACTTTAGACAACTTTATGGATGAAATGAGGGGGATGGGTAAAACAATTATTTAAATATGTATATATTTATATGTTAACATTTTTTTATCGATTATTTTATATTTATTTAAGTATATATTTGTCTTTAGTGTCTGGTGGAAGTATAGCTGATAGGGCTGTGTTAATTAAATTATAAGTTCGCTAGATTCCTTATCATTTGACGATTATAAAATTTACCGCTCCCAACACCCGGGACCTCTCTCAGAGAGGTCCTTCATCAAACGGAAAGATAATGGCGGAATGGATGAGCCCTCCTTTAAATGAAGGGCTCATCCATACCGGGGTGTTGGGAGACACCGAAGAAAAAACAGCAAACAAAAGGTTGTAAATGTCTTCTATCAGTAGAGATATTTATGACTTTTTGGTTGCTGCTTTTTCTTCGGTTTTTTTTTTTAATTTTGTAATTAACTTTAATTTTGTAGTTTTTTTTTAAAATATATATTATGTTGTATATTTGATTTGTTTTGATCTTTTGTAATGAAAATTTTAATTGTTTTCCCACCAATTAAACCTGACTTCAAATTTAAAGCCCTCTTAAATACCCCTCCCTAAAATCTAAAGTCGAAAGTTGAATTGATTCATTATCCAATTATCATAATATTATGTTGCTGCATTCTTTTGTTAAAAACAATTATTTAGTATGTTTTATTTATTGAACTCACTGCTTTTAAAATTTACTAAAACCCAAGGCAATATATTTAGCTATATAAATACAATTTATTTATCTAGATTCGATTCTTCATCTTTTATGTTTATAGTTTGGCTCCTTGAAGCATTTTATGTTTTGCTTTTTTTATTATGAGTTTTTTTAAATCCGTTGTGATGTCTTTTAAATTAAACTAAAGTTTACTAAAAGCCAACATAAAAATTACGTTTTTGAACAACACCGAAAAGAACAGCTGCATCCCTACAGCAACTGCTGCAGTATCACAATAGGTTATCAAAAACAAGTATACTGTTTTCGAGTTGTTGTTTTTTTTCATATATATTTACTTATCTATATAATACTATAGTACGATTGTTTATATCTTATTCGTTTTTTTTTTTTTTATCTTTAAGTGTTTATAATTTTATTCTTTGAATGAGATTAGTTAAACAAGTCGGCTTTCCATTAAAGATATTGGTTTTAAAATTGAACACCATTGGCAAAATGCTTACAAAATTAGGTAGTTTTTAAAAATCTGTTTATATATTTAATACACGTTTTTTTAAATATACTTTTTTAATATACTTTTCTATAACAATCCTACTAATATGGAATCACGTAGCTTTTTAAATATGTTTAATTGTCGTCCCTATCGGTAATAAATATTTTAAATTATTTGATATGGTTTTCTTTACAATAGGCTATGCTTGGCTCCTCGGTGCTGTAAATGGTGGCTTCAACTTTGTTTTTTTAAGAGAAATGTGTTTTATATATGCTTCTGTTTTAAAATATTTTTGTTACATATTTAACTATATATCATGTAAATAAATTTCTTTTAAAGATATGTAAACTTGATACTTGCTTTTTTACGGATTTTCAAAAAGTGAACAAAGGTTTAAATATATTTTTAAACTGTCTTATATGATTTTATCAATTTTATTAAAGCTAAATAATTACTTCAAAAATAATTACTTCAAAAATAATTACTTCAAAAATAATTACTTCAAAAATAATTACTTCAAAAATATTGAGTAAAATCCAATTGCTTTTATTATTAATCTGATCTATAAAAAAATTAATGAAATAAAACGAATAATTTAACGCCAAGTTAAGGCAAAATGTATTTCGGACATTTTATAAAATTAGTATAAATATGGATTGCATGTATACTGAAATAAATATGTTGATACACGTTAGCTATTAAAGTAAATCCATATATACCTTTATTGTTTTTTTATAAACAAGTTTCTGCTGGATTACTAATTAAAAAAAAGGTTGGTTTAATAATAATCTTTATCATAATAATATAGGATCCGTATGCAGGGTAAGCCCTTTTTGGAATTGCAATATATTTTTCAACTTATTTTTCCGGATATCCAACTTCTATGCCTACAAGTTTGGGTGTAATATTTTAGATGTTTTAAAAATATTTAAAAAGTATATTAATAACATTGAAAAGTTTAGGTGCGATAGTGACATATTTTTAAGCTCTTCACTCAGTAAAATGAAAAGTTAAAA